TGCAATTGAGAACATCAACTTTAACGCATTGTGATTTGAAATAGGAATAGGAATGTACTTAGTTGATCCTGAGGGTGTGAGAGTAGGGTGTCCATAAACTATGTCTAATTCATTGCCGCTCACATCTACGTTCAATGATAATCCAACCATTTCAACAAAATGTCCAAAATCAATACCACTATTAACAGTGAAACCTCCACATGGCGGTCGATTATATTCAATCTCATTTACACCTTCCACCATACAAGCATTCATATACAAAACAATTGTCAAACATTTAGATGTCATATTCTATCCTATAACAGAACAAACAAAAGTTAAATTTGGTAACTATTAATAAAAATTAATAAAAAATAAATTAAACAGTTTTAGTTTTAGTTCACTAACTAAAGAATAATAGTAATTAACCAATTAATTACATTACTTAATAATATCTAAATCTAACTTTGTTAAAACTTGTATAGACTATCTATCTACTAATGTAATTCTAAATTTATTAATGTTACGTAATTCATTTATCAATACAACGCAATTACCAATTTAATATAATGAAAAAATAAAAAACAACAACATAAACAATAAAAAACATAAAACTATTTTAAAAAAAAGAAAATCATGTCATAAACATAAAACAACAAAATTAGTGTAATTCTAAATTTATTATTGTTATGTAATTTATTTATCAATTCAATATAAATATCAATTTAATATAATAAAATAATAAAAACAACAAAATAAAAAAAAAACAGAAAATTTGTTTAACAAAAAAAAGTAATGGAAAATCATGCAATAAACATTAAACAAAAAAATCAAAGTAATTCTTGTTGTAAAATTGAGGAACAAAACGAGGCAACATCGGGGAAATAAAATAAACAAAACAATTCAAATAATAAAAGAAAATTCAAAATTCAAAATAGCATTTCCCACCAATTTTTTCACTAATTTCTCACCACTAATTCTCACTCACAATGAGCACCACATTGACCTTATTTATAGGCCATGGATAAGCAAGCATGTGGTATGATTTACATGACACTAATAATGTCTAAAATTGAGACATATGAGGCATTAGGGTTTCCACACATGGTACATGGATAATGGAACATATGGGGTTATGAATAAAAAAACACAGAGGACATATGGAGCATGGATTATGAGACACCTCAAGATTGGACACTAAGCAAGGGTTAGTGGGCATCTATTTAATTTAAAAATTTATAATACTCCCCCTTAGATACCCATTGTATATACGAAATATGTCTCGTTAAAACCTTACTAGGGAAAAACCCATTGGGAAAAAATCCTAGTGAAGGAAAAAGAATACATATTTCATATAATCTAATAAACCCAAAATAATACAATATATTTAACTCCCCCTCATGGAAACATCACTTGAGATCTCTGAGTCATCGTATTCCAATGTCGCGCACCAATGTTTCAAAGATTATTGTAGGTAATGCCTTTGTGAATAAATCTGCCAAGTTATCTTTCGAACAAATTTGTTGAACAGTGATACTACCATTCTTTTCAAGATCATGAGTATAGAAAATTTTTGGTGAAATATGTTTTGTTCTACTCTTTTAATATATCCTCCTTTAATATATCCTCCTTTGATTTGAACTATACATGTTGTGTTATCTTCGTAAAGTATCGTTGGAAGATTTTTACTAGATGATAGACCATATGTTTCACGAATGTGTTGAGTCATTGATCTTAACCATACACATTCTCGACTAGCTTCATGAATTGCAAAAATTTCAGCATGATTTAAGGAGGTGGCTGTTATGGTTTGTTTTACTAATCGCCATGATATAGCAGTTCCTCCACATGTGAACAAATAACCAGTTTGAGATCTAGCTTTGTGTGGATCAGATAAATATCCAGAATCTGTGTATACAACTAGATCGAAATTTGATTTGTTTGAATAAAACAAACCCATATCAGTCGTTCCTTGAAGATAGCAAAATATATGCTTAATCCCATTCCAATGTCTTTTTGTAGGATAAGCACTATATCTAGCTAATAAATTAACTGAAAATGTTATATCTGGTCTTGTGTTATTAGTCAGATACATAAGTGCACCAATTGCACTAAGATATGGTATTTCAGGACCAAGAAGCTCTTCATTACCTTCTCGATGTCTAAATATATCTTTTTTCACATCAAGTGAGCGAACTTCCATTGGAATATTTAATGGGTGCGCTTTATCCATATAAAATCTTTTCAAAATTTTCTCTGTATAAGTTGATTGATGTACAAATATCTCATCTACTAAATGCTCAATTTGTAGGCCAAGACAAAATTCTGTTTTCTCGAGATCTTTCATCTCAAATTCTTTCTTAAGATACTCTATTACCTTTGAAAGTTCTTCAGGAGTTCCAATTAGATTCAAATCATCAACATATACAGTTATAATGGCAAATCCCGACTGTGATTTCTTTATAAAAACACAAGGACATATTGGATTATTCTTATATCCTTCTTTCAACAAATATCCACTTAGACGATTGTACCACATTCGTCCTGATTGTTTTAATCCATATAATGATCTCTGTAACTTTATTGAATACAATTCCCGAGCATTAGAATTGGGTACTTTAAATCCTTCAGGATTTTTCATATAAATATCATTATCAAGAGATCCATATAACTATACAGTGACTACATCCATAAGATGCATGTCAAGACTTTCAAACACAGTCATGCCAACTAAATATCTCAGTGTAATTGCATCCACCATAAGAGAATATGTCTCCTCATAATCAGTACCGGGTCTTTGTGAAAAACCTTGTGCAACCAATCTTGCCTTATATCTTGTGATCTCATTGTTTTCATTTCTTTTTCTTACGAATACCTATTTGTATCCCACGGGCTTAACATTTTCCGGTGTTCGGACTACTGGTCCAAAAACTTTACGTTTTGAAAGTGAGTTAAGTTCTGCCTGGATTGCTTCTTTCCATTTAAGCCAATCTTTTCTCTGTTGACATTCTTTCATAGATTTTTGTTCACAATCGTCACTTTTAGATAAAATGTCAATAGCAACATTATAAGCAAAAATGTCATCAATCACTACATTAGTTCGGTTCCATCTTTTTCCAGTCATAACGTAATTCATTGAAATCTCATTATTATCTTCAAGTACTTGACTTTCCTCAATATCTTTATGAGTAGTCATGTTTAGAATTTCTTCTGGAATATCCTCATTCTCAATTGTGTCATTTTGATTATTGACTATTTTTCTTTTCCTAGGATTTTTATCTTTAAAACCCATTGGTCTACCACGCTTATGGCGTGTTGCAGATTCATTAATGACAACTTTCTGCATTGGGATATCAATTTTCGATGGAACATTCGCAGCTGGTATATGTGACTTGGTCACTTTTTTGGCATCAATAAATGCTTCTGGTAATTGATTTGCTATATTTTGCAAATGAATTATTTTCTGAACTTCAAGTTCACATTGATCTGTACGGGGATCGAAATGAGACAATAACGATGCATTCCATGTAATTTCTTTTTCCAACTTCATTATTCCTCCCCCTAATGTTGGAAAATTTGTCTCATCAAAATGACAATCAGCAAATCGTGCAATAAATACATCACCCGTCAAGGGTTCAAGATATTTAATAATTGATGGGGAATCAAATCCAACATATATTCCTAGCCTCCTTTGAGGACCCATCTTAGTACGTTGTGGTGGAGCAATTGGAACATATACTGCACATCCAAAAGTTCTCTGATGGGAAATATTTGGCTCTTGGCCATAAGCTAATTGTAACGGGGAATGTTTATGATAAGATGTTGGTCTAATACGTATGAGCGACGCTGCATGTAAAATAGCATGTCTCCATACAGATGTAGGAAGCTTAGCTCTCATAAGTAATGGTCTAGCAATTAACTGCAATAGTTTTATGAATGATTCTGCTAAACCATTTTGTGTATGAACATGAGCTACAAGATGTTCAACATTTATCCCAACTGTCATACATTAATTATTAAATGATTGGGATGTAAATTCACCAGCATTATCAAGACGAATACTTTTAATTGTATAATAAGGAAATTGTGCTCGTAACTTTATTATTTGGGCAAGTAGTCTTGCAAATGCAAGATTTCGACTTGATAATAAGCATACATGTGACCATCTACTTGATGTGTCTATTAACACCATAAAATATCTGAGAGGACTGCTTGGTGGATTAATAGGTCCACATATATCACCATGAATTCGTTCTAAAAATGTAGGTGATTCAGTCCCTACTTTAAATGGTGATGATCTAATGATCAATTTGCCTTGAGAGCAAGCATCACATGATAATTCATTAGATTGAAAAATCTTTTGGTTCTTTAATGGATGTCCATGTGAATTTTCAATGATTCTTCTCATCATTATGGACCCAGGATGACCTAATCGGTCATGCCAAATGGTAAATATATCTGGATTTATGAACTTCAAGTTCGTAGTTGCATATGTTTCCATTACTCGTATATGAGTATAATATAATCCAGAAGATAAAGCAGGCAACTTTTCAAATATACGTTTGTTATGTGAGAAAATAGATATAATATAAAGATATTCTATATTATTCTTGTTATCAGTCTCAATATGATAACCATTGCAACGTATATCTTTAAAACTCAGTAGATTTCTCTTTGATTGACTAGAGAACAATGCATTGTCAATTGTAAATTTTGTTCCTCTAGGCAAAATTATGTCTGCTTTTCCAAAACCTTCAATCAAGTTTGCAGAACCTGATATAGTATTGACTTTTGCTTTCAGCATTGTCAATTTAGAAAAATATTATCTACTCTTCAGTATTGTGTGCGTAGTTGCACTGTCTGCCAAACATAGATCACTATTGCTCATTTTCGAGTCATCCAATATATGAAAACTGTCCATGCTTTTTCATTAAACAAAATAATTACAATAAGAAGGAAGAATAAGAAGAAAAAAAAAACTTGAAACACAAAACATGCATAAAAGATATATAAAAAAAACATTAGTTCTGAATATTCCCAAAATCAAAAGAAGCACTTGCTATTCCATCCATTGTGCTCAATGTGCCAATTTGTTCTCCAGGAGATTCAAGAAAGTCAGTCACATCCAAACTTGTAATATTGGCAGCGTCAAAGATATCACCATCGTGGTAGGCAAGATTTGCTTCCACATTATTTCCTTTTTCTTTCAAGGAAGCTTGATAAAGATCCACTAAGTGTTTCAATGTACGACAAATATGTGCCCAATGCCCAGTCATACCGCATCGGAAGCACTTATTTTCAACACTTCTGGAATTCTGATCTTGTGGAGTTTTTCCTTTATGATCAACATTTCGTGTGGTTCTTTTAAAATTTGGACGATTATAACGCCCACCAAGAAATGAAAAATTATTTCTTCCTCTACCACGGTCACGCCCTCGACCACGACCTCGACCTCGACCACGATTATTGAAATTTACAGCATTAGCCTCTAGGAATGGCGTTGCTCCCGTTGGTCGAGATTCACGATTTTTCATCAATAGCTCATTATTTTGCTCAGCAACCAGAAGGCATGATATGAGCTCAGAATATTTCTTAAAACCTTTCTCTCGATATTGTTGTTGCAAGAGTATATTTAAGACATGAAAGGTTGAGTATGTCTTTTCTAGCATATCACTATCAGTAATTTTTTCTCCACATAACTTCAATTTTAAACTGATTTTGAATTGTGCAGAATTATAATCACTTACTGATTTGAAGTCTTGGAGCCTCAAATGCATCCATTCATAACGAGCTTTAGGAAGAATAACTGTTTTTTATGATCATATCTTTCTTTCAAATTTTGCCAAAAGGCAAGGGGGTCTTTTATTGTAAGATACTCCATTTTCAACCCCTCGTGAAGATGGTGACGAAGGAAAATCATGGCTTTTGCCTTTTCCTGACTTGTGGTTGTATTTCTTTCTTTGATGGTTTCTCCCAGGTTCATGGCATCAAGATGGATTTCAGCATCTAGTACCCATGACAAATAATTATTGCCATTCATATCAAGAGCGGCAAATTCTAATTTGGTCAAATTTGTCATGGAAACACTATCACAAAAAAAAACTCAAATTAAGGATTTAACATATGAAAACAACATATTACTTGAAAGATAAAAATTAAATTACCTACCTTCGGAACCTACCTTCAACAGGGCAAATGATAGAGGCTCATGCTGATAACGTGTTGTAAAATTGAGGAATGAAACGAGGCAACATCGGGGAAATAAAATAAACAAAACAATTCAAATCATAAAAGAAAATTCAAAATTCAAAATGGCATTTCCCACCAATTTTCTCACTAATTTCTCACCACTAATTCTCACTCACAATGAGCACCACATTGACCTTATTTATAGGCCATGGATAAGCATGTGGTGTGATTTACATGACACTAATAATGTCTAAAATTGAGACATATAGGGCATTAGGGTTTCCACACATGGTGCATGGATAATGGAACATATGGGGTTATGAATAAAAAAACACATAGAAGACATATGGAGCATGAATTATGAGACACCTCAAGATTGGACACTAAGCAAGAGTTAGTGGGCATCTATTTAATTTAAAAATTCATAATAATTCTAAAATTTTTATTGTTATGTAATTCATTTATCAATTCAATTTAATATAGTAAAATAATAAAAACAACAAAATAAAAAAAAACAGAAAACTCGTTTAACAAAATAAAAAATTGAAAATCCTACCCTAAACGACAAAATCAATGTAATATAATATACATATCCTAAAAATCAAATCTAATCATGATATGAATAAAAAAACACCATGAATAATAAATAAATACAAAAAGAAAAACTAACATTTTCTATAGGTGGTCCCAAATTGGAATCGATGAAGCGGTGGTCCCTATATGTTGTTAAAACTAAATTATTGCAAAGAAAAAACAAAACAAAACAACAACAAAAGAGTAGAATATACTTACCAAAAGAGGCTGCGGCGGCTAGACGGTGGAAAGATCGGCGGCGGCGGCAGCTAAACGCGTTTTAAGGAGATAGGGCGATGAGGGTAAGGGGGTTAGGATTTTTAAAATAAAACTGTTTTAAAAACCCACCCAGGTCGTCTAGAGACGACCTGGGCGCCAGCTACACCCATGAATTTGTTGTTTGTGGGCATGAATTTAAAAAATCCCACCTAACATGTCGTCTCATGAAGAAACGACATGTTAGGTTATTTTAAAAAAAAAGAAAATAAAGCAGCGTGGCGCCATGCTGTATAAAAAACGACATGGTCGAGACAACCATGTTTAATTTTAAAAAAAATTAACTCAGCGCCACGTTAGTTGGTCGTCTCTTAGGTCGTCTCTTCAAGAGATGCCCTATGAATTTCAAAGCATTATTCCCGTAATTAGTTTGAGATGGGGCATATTTTGGTAAATATTTTTAAAATTAACATTATTAAAAAAATCTCTCATTTAATACTATTCGATTTAATATAATTAGATTTCATATGAATTAAAAATTTTCCATACTTGAATCAAATTGTTTCAATTTAATATAACGTGTTCTCATTTTATTTTTCCCCGTTTTCCTCCAATCTTTATATCCCTTCCAATCATACACAATATTCCAGCTGATTTTATGGATCTTCCTCGTTCGTCGTAAGCCGCCACCAAGCACTATATCATGCATTCTCTCTATGCCGGCCGGACAAGATAACCCATTGCTGGTAAATTTTTTTTCTTTCCTTATTCTTTTATTTGACACATCCTGAAGATTGATTTCGATTTTTCAATTGAGATTAATTTCAATTTTCATTCTTTCCAAAAAAAATTTAGCGGCCATTATTTGTTCTGTCCAATATTTTATGTCGTGCAATAAAAACTTCCGACAAATACATACCTATATATATATATATTATGTACAGTACAATTTGTTTAATATATTCTAAATTCATGCCCACAAACATACATACTTATAAACTCATAAATTTACCATATAGTTGTATACAATCGTAAGTGTAAAAACTATACCCAATGGCATGTAATATAGAACCAAAAAACTTCTCAGAATTCAAAAAATATACCCCCAATGGTATGTAATATATAAACAGGGAAATTTTATATATACATGTACACACATCTCTAAACAGGAAATTACATTTGCACCACAATCTGACATAGCAATTTGTAATATATAACCTACAATTCTTTAATGTCAGTCAAAGACAATAAAAATGTAATGGTATATGTTATTTATGAACAACTAATACTCATGATTTGCCCACAAAATTAACCAAGCACCTATGAAATAGTATAAAAAATTTATGGAGAATGTAAAACGTATACCCACAATGGTATATGTTATATATACCTCTACGTAATGAGGGTCAAACTTTTTTTCCCTAGATCCTAAACTACAATGGACCACACTTCCGAAAGAAGTCAGGTGTCGACCAATCGATGGAATCGGCGAATGAAGAAGAGAAGAGGATTCGCTGGAAATATGTATTGTGGCTGTATCGAGGCTAAAACAGAGAGAATGTGGGTTTGCAACGGCGGCCTATCATTTGTGGTCCTCTGCTGGAAAATACCAAGCAATAAGTCCGAGCAGCAGCCACTTATGTGCTGGTGGTCCTCCACTGGAAAACGTCAAGAAATAAAAAAAAATCTCAGTCGAGGGAGGGATTTTAGGGATTTGGGGTTCTAAAATGGATTTGATTTTATAATTTTGTATTTTTTTTTTATTAAATCTATATTACAAATGACTAATTGGTAATTTTCTTCTGGATTTCATCTTTGAAGGACCAATCTTTAGATAATATTGTAAATTCTTAATAGTTAAGTCAACTTTGTAATTTGAATTTCCAAATGGGCTAGTTGTGTACTTATCCCTATTAAATTTGAGCAAGTCTAAATCCACTTAAAGATTGAGATGTGTCCAAAATCACTCCAGCCTAAGTTCAGGGCTGTGTTCAAAATCATTCAAGCTCAAATCATTTGAAATTAAATTGGGTAATAACTCAAATAGAGCCCAAATCCATGGTTGGGTCATAAATTACCCAAGTTCAAGGCTCACTAAAGCTTTTGTAGACTATAAAAAGAGGAGTCTCCACATTTTAAGGAGAGGAGAAGTTGTAGAATTCATAAGTAAATTGAAGACTTTCTAAAGACCAAAAGACTTCAAAGACTAAAGATTTCGAAGATTAAAGTTTTTAAGACTTAATGATAAGAAGACCACAAGACCGTTCAAGACCACAAGACCATCGAAGACCATAAGACTATGTGAAGACTTTCTGAAGATCAACAAGTCTAGAAGGTCGATCAAGATCAATAAGCCCAAAAGGCTAATCAAGATCAATAGGTCCAGAAGGTCGATCAAGAGCAACAAGCCTAGAAGGACGATCAAGATCAATAAGTCCAGAACGGATCAAGATCAACATATCCATAAGGCTGATCAAAACCAACAAGTCCATCAGGCCAATCGAAATCAACAAATCGAAAGACAATCATCCAAGAATTCAAGACAAATAATCAAATGATAAATATTAGAGATTGTACGAACCCCAAAATCAATACAAATTATATTTTTTTCACAATTTATAATTTCTTCAAAAATCTCGGCAAACAAATTGGCATGTCGAGTGGGACAATTTACCTCTCATCTTTTTTTCAAGACTCAAACATTTCCAAAAAAAGTAACGAACTTAAAAAGGGCTTCTTCAATGGCTGCGATCATAAGCGACCTTCATACGGGTCATATTACCCATAGTTGCTCTAATGAATTCTAACTACGAGAAAATCTAACTTCTCCCGTTGTTGCAAGCAAATTAACGATGCTGCTAGAAACATCTATTGAGAATGAATTTTTTGTTAATTATAACCCCTTATTTGATCCTAGGGGTATACATCGGTTGGTCAGGTCGCCGACCGACTGAAGAGATGAAGCCCCCACCGACCGAATTTTTGTCTGCTCAATCAGTCGATTTTCGACAAATCAAACTCTTTTTTTTTTTACACAATCCATGGGAGCTGTGAAGGTAAGGTTGGGTTGCGATGATAGTGGTGGGACTTGATGGCATTGAGCAGCGAGGGACTGAGTTGCAGTGCAAAATCGAGCGATTGGGGTATGGGTGGAGTGAAAATTGAACGACGGGAGGCTGGGTGCGGAAAGGTAAGGCTCGATGGCAATGCAGCTTGCAGCGAAAAGATACTAAGAGGAGAGGGAGAGGGAGTAGGAGGGTAGGGGAGATGAGTGTAGAAGGATAGAGGCTAAGAGATGTAAAAGATGAAACCTTAAACTAAAAGTGAAGAGAGAAGAGAAATACACTTGAATAAAAAAATAAAAGATAAAAATGAAATGGAGGGAAACTAGGACAGAAATTGCGTGAATCAATGAGCAATTAAATTAGAAAAAGTTGAAAGGGAGGAAAAGAGGAGAGAGAAATGCATGTGATTTAAAGAGAATTTAATGACAAAAATAAAAGGTACGGTAAACAAGTTGTAAATAAACTTTTTTTTTTACATATATATCGGTCGGTTGATCGGTTTGGGCAGATTTATGGTAACCGACCAACCGACTGGTCAGTTTTGTAAATACAAAACTGATCACTGCCTGCCAATTGTGAGTAAAAATTGACCTAACGATGTCAATTCAGTCGGTGAGATTCGTTTCTCAAGTATATCTGTACACCCCTAATCCTAATCTTGACAGGTTTTCTGTTATGATGACTAATGCAAGAACTATGCATGAAAAATTGGCTGAAATAGAGAGGAAAATCAT